TTTCTCTCACTAAGTGTGAGAGTTAGCTGTTTCTTTCTCTCTCCTTCTCCTGTTTCTCTCCCTCTTTAAGTAAATCACTTTCTACAAACACTTTTGAGTCGGCATTTATTGCACACTGCACCGTGGTCCCCTCTCTCATTCTTGAGAATGCAGGAGACCAAGAACCTGGAGAAACATCCTCTCTGGGGAGCTGAGGACACTCTGAACCCCTGAACCACAGGACTACATTGGTAAGCCAGCCAGGAGAGGGGTACAGCCAGAAGAGGAGTACACCAGAAGAGGGGTATAGCCAGGAGAGGGTTACAGCTGGAGAAGAAGACTTCAAAATCATGAGTAAAATTGGCCCAATTCTGTCCTGTCTCTTTAAGAACACCTGAAACTGCTGCAGCCAGGCAGGGCTGTGGGAACCAGAGCAGCAGCGCCAAGCTGTGGGGGCATGGCCTAGCCCATCTTAAGCAGCATGGGGCCAGCCGGAATTAAAAGTGCAGTGTTTTTACCTCCGAGCTCTCTTTGCTTTCCCTCTCCTTCTCTATCCTTTGGATATTATCTCTGGGACCAAAACCTGAGGATCCTGTGGGGTGGAAAGGGTGAGCACACCCCCACTTTCACTCCTTGCTGAAAGAAAGCAAGCCACAGCCCAGAGAAAAGCTACAGGGTAAGGCGAGGTGTGCCCGGCCAGGCACAGAGGTTCTGAGCAGAGTGGCAGTGCTTAAGAAAGCAAAGCAGCAAGGAAGGGGAGCAGCATGAAACCTTGGAACCCAGCTGTTAAAAACTGCAGTCAGGGACAGCACAGGGGAACTTACAGCGGGGTGCTTGCCTGCTGACTGTGGGTCCTGGTGCAGGCAGCAGCTCAGGGAGTGGCCCAACCATGCATGTGGTTCTGGCAGGGTCAACATGGTGACCAAAAGCCACAGGGGCAGGGGGTACTCACTTCCAGACAAGCAGCAGCTGTGAATTCGGCTTTTAAACTGATGGGGCAAGCAGCATTTTTATTCTGCTGGTGGGTGTGGGCGAGGGAAAGGAAGTGGCTGATGGCTGTCAGCACCACCTGGCTTTTAGGCAAGCCACACCACCTTACGATGGCTTAAGAAAGCTTTCTGCCTCCCCTTTAGGCAGGTGGCCTGTTTGCACAGTTGGTTGAAGTGTAGCGCCTGCAACTGCAAGGTTGCTGGTTCAAGTTCCCAGTGGAGCCAGTCTTGAGTTAGTGAAAGCTTTTGGGGAAATTCAGAAGCTGAAGGCTATGGGACTTTGTATTTGGTGCATAATTTGTCTTGCTTAGGATTGTCTCTCTCTCTACAGCAGAACGTTTCCATCTAGAAGATCATAGTTAAACCAGTTCCAGGGCCCAAATAGTCAAGGCAGGTCTCACAACCTTAAGAGCATTTTCCTACAATGGAAGATGGGTTAGGGGAGAAGAGGCCCAAGTCCTGAGGGTATTGTTCTGTTCTCAGCCTTGCCCAGCCTGCCTTCTTTGAACTCTGTGTTCTAATGGCCCCTCCCTAGAAGTTTACCCTTCTGGGGCAGTTTTATAAATTGGCCTGCAAAAAATTGGACTTTTGCTGGGAAATATTGGTACCAATCTCCTGAGCCTCACCAGCCTCACTGGGGTTTGTTTGTACAAGTATCACCCAACCCAATAGCTCCTCTGGTTCCATGCCTCTATGATAGTCACTGGAGGTCATGCAGGTGGTGTGAGTGGTCCTATGAGGCTGACAGGTCATGACTGGAATCCAGTACATAGGAGGCCATCTGATAAGATGGATCATGCATCTTGGGCACACAAAATTTCAGGGTACTGATGGAAAGATATTTCATTTCAGTACCCATTTTACCTGGGGGACACCTCAGGTTGAAGCAGCTGAAATTTCTTTAACCAGGCGTGCAGGCATCCTCTGTGTTTGATTTCAGATGGGTGCTTCTATTCCCAAGCTCAAGTCTCCATTAAAGTGTATACTGGAAAATTGGGACCAATTTGACACACAGTCCTTAAGGAAGAAGGGGCTTATTTTTCTCTGCCAAATAACGTGGCCAAATTATCCTCTGCTAAGTGGAAAATCTAGCCCCCAAAGGGAAGGGAAGAAAACCCAACAGCTTCCCTTGAGCAATTGTGAGAGGCTTTAAGAAAGTACACCCCCTGTCACCAGACTCCATTGAGAATCAGTTAATATTAAAGGACAAGTCCTTTACTCAGGCAGCAGCAGATGTCAGGAAGAAGCTTCAGAAGCTGGCGTTGGGGCGAGAGCAGAGTCTAGAGTCATTACTGAGTCAAGCAACCTCAGTGTTTTATAATAGAGACCAGAAGAAACAGGCTGAAAGGAACAGGAGAGCTCAGAGAAAGGCTGCAACCCTAATCGTGGCTTTTTGGCAAGCAGACCCCAGGGACTCAAATGAGGGAAAGGCTTAGGTAAGCCGCCAGTCTGGCAGAACTTGTTACCAGTGAGATGAAGGGACATATTGTAAGAAATTGTCCCCAGAAGAATGGACCATCTCATCCATGTTCACTGTGCCAAGGGAATCACTGGAAGGCACACTGTCCCAGGGGGCCAAGGTCCCCTGGAAACCTCCTGAAGGAAGTCATAGACCCTCCACTCCACAGTCTGAAGTTCCAGGAGACAACCCTTCATATCCCTGCGAGCCCTTAGAAGATCTACATCTGCTTTTCCAACAAGATACTCAGGGAAGTAACCACACATAAGTCTAATTTATATCCTGGCATCAACAGGACTATATAACCTTCAACTTTGGTATCTCTCAAACTCTGAGTATCCTTTTCATAGTGGGAAGGGAACCTGTCTCTTTCTAGGGAAAATGCTGCCATTTTGTAAACCAGTTACGTATTGCGAAGCTTGTTTAACAACTGACTGTCTTGGCTTTATCCTCTCCTAGGCTCCTTTATAACCAGTCTATATTTGTTGGCCTCTGGGCCTCTCATCTTTAACCACCTTGTCACATTTGTTTCTTACAGAGCCATAAGGTCACAAATAATCCTGCCGCTGGAACCCCAGACGTCCTTGGTTCGTGGGCACTATCATGGACCTCAGGGTCAACCTGCACCCCTGAAAGGCTCCCCTCTGGAGGAAACCTCATCTGTAGGGCCCTTTCTATGCCCCATTTCACTAAAAAAAAGGAGTTAAAGAGAATCAAAGTCCGCAATTCCAACAGAAGTTGTGCTTTCCTGTTCAGAGGTGGGGAATGAGGGAAGGTGTTCTCTTTCCAGGTCCACAAGGGGGCGTAGATGTAAGGGCAGGAATTTCCCAGCGCCATGTCCCCCTCCCATCTCTCTCTATCTGGGAAATTTAATGGTTTATGTTTGAATTTTAAGGGCATGGGAACAAACTAAGAGTCAATCACTTCAGTGGAAGGTCTAAGGAACTCCCTCATTGGCCTGGGTCCTTAGAGAAGGTGGAGGATCCTCCCAGGTTAAAAGTCCCCTTCTTCCACACCCCTTCGGACTCCATGTTTGGGTCCCTATCCATGAACACTCATATTAATAATAAATTTTTAAAAAGCCCTAGGAAGTATTCTAAATAGTCTGACTTAAGTCATGTGGCTGTCCCTAAAGAAATCACTGGGGTAGAGCTGGTTGCAAAATTTTATGTGACCTGGATTATTTGCCTTTCCTATGTAGGTTGAGTATCATGCTGAACATACCACTCCTAATACATAAAGTGAAGAGTAGAAGGATACCAAAGAAGAATCATGCTATTTCAGAAGTGGAAAGAAAGAAATGATCAGACAAAACCCATTAATAACTACTATGAAGTTGTGCTGGCTTCATCAAAAGGTGAATGTACCATAACACTACAAGGGCTGCTTTCTAGAAACTAAGTATAGAAATATAGCTGGATCTTAGCAACAAAATAAAATGAAGGTCCAGAAAACCATCCAAATCTATCTCTGCATTTCATCTGGGCTCCTCTCTCTGCAAGTGCTTCATGCCGCTTTCTGCAGATTTCTATTATCTTCACCGCTACTCTTTGGCTAAAAGGTTCAACTGATGATATAATAGTTCATGTCTCCCAAAAAAGGAAATCATCTCTGATTCTCGAATTGATATGGCAGAGAAAAGAGGGCCACACCACATCTTGGTAGCTTACATGGCCTGCTCAGAGAAAGAGACAATGACTCTCTTAGCCCCAATTCCAACTTCCCTAAGAAGAACTGATTACCTTGCTGATAAAGGTGAAATTATCTCTTCCCCTCTTTGATCCAGTAAAATGTAGACAGTGGGGAAGCTTCTCATTACAAAAACTTCCATTGGAATCTCCACCATGTAAGCAGAGAGTCAGCAAAGTAACCATGTCTAAATGGTATACTCTACTGAATTTTTCAGCCTTAGTCACTGTATCCTCTGCATTTTTTCATCATTGTTAATAAAGTGGAAATGATGCCTATGTTGTTTGTTTTGGAGGAGGATTAATTACAATGAAAAAGTTCCTAGCACATGCAAGGTTATGCTCCTTGCTTTAAAAGAGTTAAAAAATTAAACCATAGGAAAAAAAATAGTCATTTATTTTGAATAAAAAGATTGTCTTCTGACTTGGTAACCTAGATTATTGCCAAGCACTTTTCCAGTTATTTAATGCCAATGATTTTCCCCCAGTTAATTCCAAACTATTAACCAAATAATACAAAATAAAAAGTCAAATGCACTTTAAAATCATGATTTGCTCATATCTTAAGGCTATTCCAAATCATGCCACAGTATAAAAAGGGATTTCACAAGAGTTCAACATGATTTGAATAATGGAAGCTTCCCCTAGTCATTTAGATGTATAAATTCTATTAATCTATAATCTTAAGAGAATGATAGATACATTAATATTAATCAGACATGCTTTAATAGATACTGATATATTTATAAATCTTATGTATTTAATATTATATAACATTTATCTTGAATTATTTCATTCACTAGACATTTATTAAATATCTGTTATGGGTCTGAGCAATGTATGGGGGACTTAAATTTCATGGAAAATGCAATTAAAACATCAGGGTAAAAAAATGCAAACTTTATTTCTCATCATAAGATCTATCAAGTTGAAGATACTTTAGTAAACAATGATAGCAGCCATTTAGTCCATCCCTAAAGAACTGAGGGTCCTGGGAAGTTTACCATGACAAGGTAGTCTTTTTTACATTATTAATTGAAGAAAACTGACTGCCCTTTAAAGACTTTTTAAGATTAGGAAATAAAAATAAGTCAGAAGTAGCGAACTCAGGGTTTTAAGGTGGATGTCTAATGATTTCCTTTAGAAACTCTCACAAAATGGCCCTCATTTGATGAGAGGAATGAGCAAGAGCATCATCCTGGTGAAGAAGAACTCTCTGGGGAAGCTTTCCCAGGTATTTATCTGCTAATACTTTGACAACCCTTCTGAAACCATCCTCGTAATAAACAGATGTTATCATTCTCTGGTTCTTCACAAAGCCAAAGACAAGCAAAGTGTCTTGAGCTGCCAGAAAATCTGTTGTCATAACATCTGCTTTTGACTGGTCTGCTTTTGCTGTGACTCACCACTTCCAACTCTTTGTAGCCATTGCTTTGATTTTGCTTTGTCCTTAGGATTATACTGGTAAAGCCATGTTCCATCTCTTATTACAGTTCTTTAAAGAAATTCTTCAGGATCTTAATCTCACTTATTTAAAATCTCCACTGAAAGTCTGCTCTTGTCTGCAGCTGATCTGGGCTCAATGATTTTGGCACCCACTGAGTGGAAGGTTTGCACAACTTTAATTTTTCACTCAGAATTGTGTAAGCTAACAAATTAGGGTGTCTATGGTCTTTTCTATTGTCTCTGTTGTTAATTATTGGTTCTATTTAGTTAGGTCACAAACAAGATGAAATTTTTTTCCTTAAACATTAATGTAGATGGTCTGCATTTGTGGGCTTCATCTTCAGTGTTGTCATCCCTTCTTAAAACTAGTTGTCCATTTGCAAATGACTTGTTTCTTTGGGGCATTCTTCTCATAAACTTTTGTAAAGTGTCAGTGAGCTCACCATTCTTCTATCTAAGCATCATGACAAATTTGATGTCTGTTTTTGCTTTAAATGTAGCAGAATGCATGTTTCTCTGATAAGGGCTCTTTTCAAACGTATGTCTTATCTTTCTTAGAGCCTTAAATGAGATCATATTCAGTCATGTAATGACAAGTTAGTATGAGTTTATTTTGGTGCAGTAAAGTTTTAAAATCCATGCATAGTTTTTTTTTTATAATATGCATTTTCTGTGAACATTTTGAAAACCCCTCATATTTCCAAGTGGAGAATAACCATTATTTTCCTATCAATCATATTTATAGGAAAAGAAGTGAGGCAAATAATTGAATAAGATGCTAGATATGAGAGAATCATCTGAGAGTACTACAAAAATAATGTGACCAACATTCTCAGAAGAGTAATGCTATATGCCTTCCATGAGCTCATATTTTAAGGAAATCCAGTGGATAATCTGAAAGAGACCCTAACTTCCTAGATATCACCATAACACAGATTGCATGTTAGCATTATAACTACATATCCACACAGAATTTTCTCTATGCTTATCTCATTTGAAATTTAAAATATGCATGCAAAAGAAACAGGAGTTTTTGATAGAGGCTAGCAATAGTCATTTTAATCTGCTTGCATTCTTCAGGAAAATATTGCACTAATTCAGGTTTAGATACCACCATGTGGCAGGTAATGTAGCCGTGAAAACTGTCATATTCCATTTGGGTTGTTACAGTGAAGTACTATAGCCTAGGTGGCTTATAAACACAGAAAACCATGTCTCTGGAGAAATAGATCAGGGTATCAGCATGATTAGATTCTAGTGAGAACCCTCCTTTAGACTGCAGAGTGCCAGCTTTTCATGTCAATTCATGCCAGAAAGACAGCAAGAGAGCTCTCTGAAGTCCCTTTCATAAAGGCACCATCTCATTCATGAGGGCTCCACCTTCATGACCTAATTACCTTCCAAAGGCATCTCCTCCCAATATCATCATGTTGGGAGTTAGGATTTCTACATATGTGTTTTGTGGGGCCACAAACATCCAGTCCATTGTAAATTGCTCCTTAGCCTCCCTTGTCATCAGGAATATATTGAGACCCTTGGTATACTATAGTCTGAAAATTCTTGGCAAAATTTCTGATTAGTCAAGCTTGCATTAATTGCCTGTACCCAGACCCTTCAACCATGGCCAAGGGTCAGGGCTTAATAGTATGAACAAGGCCATTCCATAGAAACATCTGCCCAATCATGTGTAGAAGCTGTTATCAGAGAAGGGGGAGTAATTATGAGTCAGACATCTACTATCTGTGTCTATTATAGTCTTAAAGGAGTGAGGCTGAAAAGCAGAGTTCAGAAAAGCGGCAGCATTTTATAAAGGATCAAAAATTCCTTTTTCTTCATTTCTAGGCTGACAGTTATTACCATCTCTGGTTGACCATGATGTTTCTGTCAGTACAACACCAACATATTTGTATGCTTTCCCTTATAAAGATAAGAGAGGGATCTTAAGAAAATAGTGTTGGGCTTTTGAATACTTTTATATTTCTAGAGTCTAGAATCTAGGCACTCTGCTGTTATGCTTTTAATACAACTCTGTGAGTGCTGAATACTTCTACCAAAGCAGGGTACTATCACTAACATTTGTAGTGAGTAGCTATAAGCATTCTGTGTTGAAACTAATGTGGAATTATGAAAGGCAGTCTAACTGTGGGATCTAAGTAAGACTAGGTAGCTAGAAAAGTTACAGGAAAAAAAGACTGCTCTTGCTTTCAGTCTTCCAGAACTGGCATGTATGTATGCAATCATTTGGGAAGTTATCATAAAGAATTTGAAGGAGACACTTCCATTGGAAGAAAAGAAGTCAATATGTGGAAAGTGTTTAATACTTAGGAAAAGCTGTTAAAAATATTTAGATTTATATCTATATTGATATCTGTATCTATAGCTAGGCCTCCATGTCATTAAGAATGTAGAATTCACAGGTCTCTTTTGGATTGAAAAAGAATAAGGGTGAATTACTTGAAGCAAGGAGGGAATAGAAGATAACAAATTAGCAGCACAATATAATCTGGGTAAGATTTTACAGACTTAAAATGGTCCTTTGAGAAATATTCCAAGGCACAGAAAAGGTCACTGAGTGCTTCTTAAGATTAGGCTATCCCATAGGGTAGTCAAATATGTTCTGATAGCCTATATAATCTATATTTGAATCATTATTTTCCCGAATTCCAAATGCCTTAAAATTCTAATCACGCCATGGCATCCTAGGAGTCTGAGTGCTATGCTTTGCTGTCTGCGTTGCAGATGTGATTTAACTCTGATTACCTTGATTTGTCAGTGAATTTAAGCCCAGTAGCTTTAAGATAGTAACTGTCTGCAGATATCTGACTGGGTATTAGAGAGTATTGTCCCTGATGGCAACAGCTCAGTAATTTGAAATCGTGTGAAAGCTTACATCTGGTTGAAGTAGAAGGTCATTTCATGTGAGAGCAGCTCTGTCACGTATCTGCATTATCCACACATTTGGTTACTGAAAGACTTATACATGCAAGCCTAGCCTAGAGTAGCATGCAATGGTAAGTCAAAGGCTGAGGAGGAGCTAAATCATGAAAGAATCTTGATTTTCATTTGGACACATGACTGCTTAGAGTAGTTTACATTTCCCATCTAAGGATGAAATGAAACGGAAAATGGTGCATCCAACATTAGGAAATTTTCCCTGGATGCAAGAATGCTCTTCTCTTCCTCCTTCTTCCCTTTCATCTTTGCTCTTGCATGGTAGGCATGATTGCTGGAACTGAAATTAGGAATAGTGGGCGACAGATGGCTGAGCAAGAAGACAGAAAGTGTCTGTTTCAGTTTGGCATGCTTTTGAGGGCCATACCTGCACTAGACCACCTACCTCTAGATTTTCATTTGAAAAAGAAACAAATTTGTCCTGTTTTGGTCATTGCTATGTTTTGTTTCTCTTGCTTGAAGCCAAAATGAATCCTAACTAATACAGTATAGATGCATCATTTAAAAAAATATTTTTGCTTTAGTCAACTTTTTCCCACTAACAGAATAACTATTGATTTCATTCAGATAAGGGGGCTTTTATTGCATATGGAAAAAGAGATTACTTTGAATATGTAAACATTGTGCACCCTCTCCCCTTGTATAGCAATTATGGCTGAGATGTATATCGTTATACAAAATCCTTTTCCATATTCCTACTTATTTCTGTAGAAGAGATATCTATAAATAGAAAAACTGGATTTGAGTATATATTCTATAAGGCAGTTGTTTCTTATTGTCAACTTTCTTTCTAGAGCAACTGTGTCAGTGTATATTACTAGCATTGAGGCATGTCTGTCTGAATACACTTTTGTTAGAGTTTAGTAATAGAGCACTATTGCTATTTCAGCTAATTATATGGTCAAAACATAAAACATGATAGATCTCCTTGTTAGATATATTTTTATGTGTTAGATTTCTATAGGCAGAATATATTTCCTTACATTTATTGGCCATTTCTATTTATTCTGTGAACAGATTGTTTCAAAGTCTTTTCTAAACTTTCATAATGTTGGGGATCTTAGTATATTTCTTATTGATTTGAAAGGGTCTAAAATTTTTAATAGTCACATATTTTAATTCTTGTTACCTTATTTGATTAGATATTCACCTTTGATTTTTTTTTTCATTTTTGGAGCCTTTTCCCTTTGGTAAATATATTTTTTTCAATTTTAATGGTGCTGAAGTCAACAGTGTCATCTTTTTCAAAAACCACTTTAGTTTGCACAGAGTTACGCTGTATGATAGCATCTGTCCTCACACATCATCTGTATGCTGTCTCCTCATTGAGAAGAACATGTTAAATACTTGTAACACAGGTGTTAAATATAGTAGCAAAAAGGACATAGGATTTATTTTATTTTTATGGAAGCTTCACCTTAGAAAAATATTGGCAAGAGTCATGGATTTCCTGGCAATGAAGTGGGATGCTTTATGGCTTAAATCAGATATAGAAGACTATGTCCATGAGATTAAAAATGATTTGGAAGCATGAAGTTTGAGATTAAAATGTAAGCAGCTGCTGTAAAAAATGATGCCTTGACATTTGATTAAGCTATATAAACAATCAACCTATTCTCTTTCTTTCATTGCTTTTCTTTACTCATCAGTATTTTTATTCACTTTACCCTTCCTGTTTTGAGTTCTTTCTCCCTCATTATTGTCTTTGTTAGTTTGCTTATTTGTGATCAACTCCTCTGTGGTGAAAACTTCCAATTACTTGTTTAACTGACTATGCTTAGTTTTCAGTTAATATTTCATTTATATATATACATATATGTATATGTATGTGTGATATATATAAGCATACGTGTATGTGTGTGTGTATATATATATATATATATATATATATATATATAACTTTTACTTTGAAATTTCATTTTCCTGTATTCCTCCAGACGTCTGGTGTTGTGGTAAAGCTGATTCTAAAAACTGATCTGTAGCTATTATTTATTTAATATTTGTGATGCTATCACTAATAATCTTTAATATCTATACATTATCAATATATATTTTTATCCATCTAAATGTATATTTAACATATAATTTTTCTGATGTACCACTAATAATCTTTAATATCTATACTTGCCATTATATATATTTTCAAAATATTATTTTTATTACTTATCTTAACACAAACATTAAGCATTTGAGAGATGAACTGAGTAACTTCCATTTTTCCTCCTTTACAGTTAAGAGCCTCTTGTCACAATTGGCTAGAGTCTACTCTTTCCAAAACTATCTAAGTAACAAGTGACTCCAGGTGTCAATTTGTATTTTCTCTAAGTACCCAGAGGAGTACATGGATGTCCGGTATTAGACAAATTCAAGTAGCATAACTTCAGCTTGTGAACATCTAGTTGGTCAGAATTCAGCAATATCATTAAATGTCCCTTCTCACCCCTGATATTTTTTAAAGGAGTAACTATGGCGCAAAGGACTGTGGATATAGAGTAATCTTTTCTTATACAGACAAAACTAGGAATTTGCATTTAAGAAAAACTATAATCTGAAGAGGCAAACTGACAAACCATTGATGATTTAAAAGGAGCAAGGGAAAAAGCAGAATAAAATAGGTGTTATTCAACAGATGTCATCAAAGTGTTATGAAATGTCATGAAAGGAGTGACTTTGGGGAGGGAGCATTGGTGAGAAAAGGCTTCTTGGAGAATGCTGGATTGGAGTTGAGCTTTAAAGAATTGAATGAGATTTTAACTGTTATTTTGTGTCGGGTATAGTTTTAATTCTAAAGAGGTTTTAGGTTCTTCAGATATGCTGGGATTGATATTACCTTTTAAAGAGCTCCTAGAAGTAGTTCTAAATGTATACAATCAAATACAATTTGGGAAATTTAACTATGGATGTAATGTGCTTGTTGGATGAAGATGATATACATTAGTGACTTGAGTGTCCTAGTAGAGAAAATAACAGCCATTTGAAATCACAAAATTCTGCATCAGGAAAAGACCTGACAAATCATCTACTCAACACTCTGCTTTACAAAAAGGCACCAAACGATTCAGCAATTGACCAAGGTCACTCATTTAACTTGAGCAGACTTTTTCTCTCTCAGAAGGCATGGCTTTGGAATGGGCACCTTTCTGTATCCATTATGGTAATTTCCATTGATGTCATGAAATAAGATAATTGAATCTCCACGCTTCATCATCAGACCGAGATACTGTAAACTGCAATGAACTTGCAGGTTGAGTTAAGTTTGAAGGAACATAAAAAGGACCAAAGGCAGAAAACATTTTCAGACTCGGTACTTGCATGATGAAAATAAAGAATGATTCGCACCTGAAAAAAAAAAAAAAAAGAGACACTGGCAGGACTTTCAAACTGATGTCGTTTACTCACCTAGGATGCAGTGGGTGAGGAAGACTAGAGAAGAGCCGAGGGAGGACGGGGGTGGGGGGGGCGGGGATGGAGTGTGGAAGGGGGAGAGAGGGAGGGAGAGAAGGAGGAGGAATAGAGGGGGGAACGGGTGGGGGGGGGAGAGAGAGAGAGAGAGAGAGAGAGAGAGAGAGAGAGAGAGAGAGAGAGCGCAAGCTCGAGCAGAAGCGAGCCTCGAAGCCGCTGGAGAGGTACCCTTTGTCTGACAAACCCTGAAAGGGAAGCCTCTGGTAGCAGCCCTCCCGTTCGTTCCCACCTCCGAGCGTTTGCCGAACTGCTAGGTGGAGCCCGCGCCGCGGAGCCCGCGAGCACTCCAGATCCGGGTTTTGCCGGCCTCCCCTTTCCCCGGCGCGAGCCCCCTCCCCGGCTCTCGGAGCTCTCGTCGCCCGCCCGCCGGCGACTCATTCTGGCCTCGGCTCTGGCCCCGGCTGCGTCCGCCTCGCGCGCAGGCTGCAAGGCCCCCGCGCGCCCGCGCTCTGACCCGCTCTCGGCGCGTCGCCCCCCTTAGCCTGCCGCCCGGCACCGCTCGCTCCAGTTCCCAGGAGCGGGGATGCAGATGCTGCAGCTGGTCGGGGTGGGCGCCGCTGCCGCCGCCGCCACTGCTGGCTTTTCCCGGACTGCTTGTTGCCTCCGCTCCGGCAGCTGCTGCCGCCGCCGCCTGTGACTCGCCCCCTCCCCTTTCTTTCTTCTCTTTTTGCCTCCGTCCTCTTCCTCCGGGAGTGCGCGCGCGCGGGTTGCACGGTTTGCTTTGGCAGGAGCTCGCTCGTGTGTGCGCGTGTGTGAGTGTGCGTGTCTGGAGAGCGCCCGTGCCTCGCTCGCTCCTGGGGAGTCGAAGAAGAGAAAGAACCGAAGAGACAGCGGCAGCGGCGGCGGCGGCGGCGCGGAGCCCGGGGCCGCGCGATGAAGCTCCCACATGCCCGCGGCCGCCCGGCCCGGCCGGCGAGCTAATCAGCCACCCCCAGGGCTCGGGGCTCGCCGGCCCCCGGGACGCAGTGCTCGGCGGCCGGGCGCCCGCTCTGCCCGCACGCCCCCGTCGTGCACCCGGGAAGGAGTTTGCGTGGCTCTCGCTCCGGCTGTCCGCGGAGGTTGCGGGCGCGAGGGGGGACCCGCGGCTGGGAGAGAACCTCGGGAGGACGAGGAAGAGGACGTTTTGGCGGAGAAGCCACCCCTGGCCCTCGCGGCTCCCCCTACCTTTTCCATCGCTCCCGCTCCGAGGCGGAAAGGGGAGGACGTGGAAGAAGAAAAAGAAAGAGAAGGGGGGGTGGGGTGGGAGAACTGGATATAAAGATCGGCTGGGGGGATGGTGGAAGATTTTTGGTCTCTTCGGCAGCGTCTTTTCTTAAGCGGCGGTGGCAGCAGCAGCAAGAGGAGGAGAAGCAGCCCCGGTTATGACTGCCGCATGTTAATAGCTGCCGCTGGGTCCCTCGGCTGCTGTTGGAGACAGAGCCTGACTCCGAAGTTGTGCAACTGTGGACTGGGAGAGACATTTGAACCCTCTTTTCTCTTCGCTCCGCTTCTGCCCCCTTGGCGTGTGTGAAGCGAGGAACCTCAAGGAAGGCGAGCAGTTGGCTCTGGTTTCCGTTCCCCTTTCTCCGAGGCTGTGTGGCAGAAGAAAGGGAAGAGACTTTTTGTTGTTGTTTCCTTGACTGGGGTCTCCACCCTCCTGCTGCTTTCTCCGCGCTTTGATTCTCGTTCTTAGCCGCCTGTGGTTGGAGGTGTCTGCACGGAGGCCGGCCGGTCTTTTGCCCCGGGCTCAATGGCTGGATTGTGGAAACTGCACTCAGGTTGTTGAGCAACTGATGGGACCATCTCAGGGACCGGCGGTTACGAAAGGTAATTTATTCTTCGCACTCTTCATAATAGGGGTCGCCCTGACTGGGCGCAGGCGGCAGCATCCACCGGGCGGGCCACAGAGTGGGTGCGGGGTGCACCCACACTCGCCCTTCCACTCACACACTCGCCCTCACACATACACACACTCACCGGGTCGTGATGTGGGGCGGGAAGGGAACCTCCTGGCTGCTGGGCGCTCGGGTCTAGCAGGGGTTCGAGTTTTCTACAGCCATTGGGCGATTTGGCAGCCGAGGGGAATGAGGGGTATACGAGACTGGACGCCTTAGCAGCCGCACACTCTGGGGAATGGGAACAGTTTCCACCCCGTAAATTTTCCCTCCCCTCTCATCTCAGTCCCATCCCCTAGTGTGGGCAGAAAGCGGACCAGAGGGCACCTTTTCTCCGCCGGGCTGGAACTGGTACAGCTGGAGGCGGGAGCGGGCTGGAGGACGGACAGGGTCTGGGTGAGGAGCTGGGCTCTGGGAAGATGGAAAACGCAGGGTGCCTAGCCCGACGCGATTCTCCCTTGACGCCCGCCTGGAGCATCCGTGGTAGCCGCTTTTGCCCAGGTCGCGCCCCTGAGTCGTGGAGTCGCGCTGCCTCCCCGCGCCCCGCCTGTTGTGTCCCCTTCACGGTAGTTTGGTTTAGACCTCCGTGCCCAGGCTTTGTGAGGTGGTTTTGGCTGGAGAAAGCTGCCACTTTCGTGGGTGGCCCGGGCTGTGTTGTGCTGGTAGTGGGCACTGGGCGGGGGGCGGCGGTGTTGCACGAATCCGGGCGGCCGCGGCGCCGGGGCGGGGTGGGCAGAGCATTGGTGGTCGCGGTTGGCGGGTTACAGGTAGGAGAGGAGGCACCTCGGCGCTTCTCTCAGAAGAAGGGAAGGCTCCAGGCTGCAGCGGAGCGTCAGAGCTGCGGAGAACCAGCCTCAGGTCCCACGTCGGAGCTCAGCTTAGCGTACCAGGCCCTCAGCAGTATAGGTGTGTGTGTGTGTGTGTGTGTGTGTGTGTGTGTGTGTGTGTGTGTGTAGGTGTAGGTGTAGGTGTGGGGGCGACCCCCTCTACCAGGGTTACTTGGCGGCAGAGTCGGCGTGTGAGTGTGTGCGCATTTTTGCGCCCCAGGGACGGCAGGGAGATATTTGCGGGGATGCCTGAGCTGATGCTAGTGGAGCTGGGCTTGCTTATTGAAATCGCCTGGGATCTGCTTAACTGGGAAATCTGGTGTGAGGAGGCCACGGGGACTCCCGCAGGGTGGCGAGGAACCCTCGCCAGGACCCCTTCCCCCTGGAGAGGCGCAGCTCGGCGAGATGCGTGCGGCGCGTGAGAGTCGCTGGTGCAGCGCTCGACGAACCCCAGCTTGGCCCTGATGAGGACCTCATAGGGTAGTCATATCTCCAGCAGATTGAAGTAATCGAGTCCAGCTAGAGTAACTCCCGCTCCCTGCAATTCTCTGGCCACTTTCCTCCCTCTGACAGAAACATGCGCTGCTTTTATTTATGGCCAGAGATATCATAGCAGTTGGGCGAACTCGAGTCTTGTGAGCCACCTCCTGGGTGTCTCCTCCCTGTGTCTGCCTGTGATCCCTGCCTGCGGTAGTTAGAGCACGTTGTAAACAAAGGTGTAAGCACTCCTGCCACCGTCTCCTTTAGAGTCGAACCTGCTGTCGTCTGTTGTGTTTACTTTCCTGGCTCTATTACTCATTAGGAAGTATAAAGCTTCTTGCACTTCTGATTTTACATCCTTCCAGCCAGCTGCTGGGGAAATGAGGAGACGCATAGACTCTGGCAGGAAGGAAAAATTGCCTTCTGTGTTTTGCTCTGAAGTAAATAGGCGGTCTGCTAATTTTAGTGTCGTATGGGCTATCATCACTAGTTAAAGAATGTCATCGTAGAATCTGCAAAGAAACACTTCAGTAGCATTTTTTCATTTGGAGACTCTCCTATATTTCCCTATGAGAATAAACAGAGTTAAGCAAGATTTCTCTAGTATATTTTTCCATCTGTAATGGTCCAAAATGATCTGGACTTGTGGCGCCCAATTTTTCTGTATGTGGATTACAAATAAAATATGATTCTCTGCTCTTTTATACATCACCAAAATAGGATACCAGATAATTTGTATGAGAGTTAAGAGGATATTCATGTGTTGAATTATCTCTCAGCTTTGTTTCACCCAATCTTATTCATTTATTTATTTTGTAACCAAAGCAAGGGTAAAGCATGCACAAAGATTAACACAGTTTATAAACTGTTACTTTTGCAAGTGAAACTGCTTTTTCATTTCAGTAATTAAAATGTATTAAATTCCTTAGGTCTAGGTTAGCTCTGACTGTTTTGGTGTTTGTTGCAAATGCTTGTTTTCTATTCTGTTTTAAAAAGTATAGCGGTGTTAATGTAACAGGGTACTTCGTTTTTAGATACAATTATGTCTGGATGTCTTTATTATTTTTTAAAGACCTTGACCTCTTGAAAAAGCATAGATTGCAAAAGACAAATGCCGAATCACTGATGCCTGACTTTGATTAAGTTATATTTTTTTAATGAGAGATATTGCTAATGGCCATTATCTTAAGAGAAAACTTAGAAAATTTTGATTTAATTCATGAGAATCTAGCTTCATGTTTTGTTTCATTTCTAGAAGATACGTGTTCAAGTTTTTAAACCTGCAAATATTCCTGTGGATTAAAGAATACTTTTCCTCCCATTTTAGAAGATCTAATCACAATGATTCCCAGTCCTTACAAGATTTGATCAGATCTGTTCTTTGTTTCCTAGCAGCATGTGTTTCCTAGCAGTCATACATTCCACAGGTCCTGATGTCATTAGAGCTGTGTCTGTCAGTGTATTGTGCTGTCTTTAGCTGAAGGTGAATGTGTCAGAGTATTTGAATGCCATTCCATAGCACTTCTTTATCACTAAGTATTGAGTAACCTGATCCATTTGTGTATATGGTTGACTAGATTATTTCTACAAAATCAAGGTAGGAGGAATGATTAATACAAAGTTTTCTATGAACTATTTAATTCTTTTAGATAGAGATGTTAGGCTGCATCAGGAGTCCCTGGCCTGAAGAGTGATAAGCCAGCATGTGATTTGCCTGATGGGTAAATGCTTTTGATGTCTCATTTTAGCTTGCTTGGTGTGATTATCCTTCAGACTGAGAGTGCTCCTCAAAAATATGAATGGAAAAGGCTTTCAGAAATGATTTTCTTAATCATGATCTTCTTACATTTTGCAGATTTAAATACTCTTTTCCACAGGGAATAATAGCAAGTATGGCAGAACTGGCTGCGGCTGCTGTGCCTGGCATTGTTTCTACTCATTAGGAAAGGCAGGTTTTTTTATGGATTTGATTTATCATTGATTCCTTTGTGAGCTATATATAGCCAAGGAAATCATAAATAGTATATAAAAAAGACTATAAAATCTTGAGGATTGAAGTTTCAGATAAAATGATGCAAAACTGAATTGCTTTTCAAATTTGATTTGGACCACTTTAAGTGTTGGTTGAAACTCTCTTTGAAAAGGGCTGCCAAGTAGAAGTGACAGCTACAGTTAGGAGTGGGGAGTTTTGGCCCAGAAATCAGCAAGGAAAACTGATTGTGATTTTCATATTTAGGATCAAACAGTGATTTTTAAGAAATGCTGTGCAGCCTTAATTTAGCATGGTGTGAATGGCTAGAGCAGTTGGAATTAAAAATGGATGATCTGTCCTTAAGTTTGCAAATGGCTATTTTGCCTTCTCTTTCCTAGATTTGCATTATATTCAAAATATGCTTTTGCTCACTTTGGGAGGAGCCCTAAAAAAATATGGCTGTATTGTAATTTATCATTTGTTTGCCCACAAGGACATATTTACACTTAGATGATTATTGCATTTATGTCTTCTCATTTCATGAAAATGTATTTCTTTGCAGAATAACCAATTTTATAATAAAATAAAAAAAACTTGCAAGTATGAGTGAGGTCCTTCTGACATTTTTCCTTGGTTATCTTTCTGTGTTATGTGTGGTAAGGGAAGGGAGAGAGTTAGGGAGTTGTTGATCAATGAAGAGAAAAATCCACATTTTCCATTCATTGTGATACATTGTGAGAATGTAGTATTTATGCATCTAAGGTGTGCAGAAATCTAAGGTGTGCAGGTTTTCCCCCAAATCTTTAATGCCATTACTCTGATCTGAGTGTCAGTATGTCCCAATAAAATTAACTCTATTGCTGCATAAGAAACCAGGTGTAACTTTTTTCTTAGAATTGTGAAATGTGCTCATTGATTCATAAGTGTGAAATATAAAAGAAGAAAATTAGCTGTCCTACTTAAAATTAATTGAACTTCTTTATTTATTTTGGGGGATGGACAAAAGGGGAGAGTTTCTATATTTGCTCATAATAGGTTCTATAGACCTTGATAAATATGTCTTCCTTATGTCTTATTGGCACTTAAACAAGAACTTAGTTTCAGTTTTAATGAATGTCTTCATAAAAGTGATTACAAATAGGTATTAAAGAAGTTAAAATTTGGTCCATATTATTCAAGAATTTAAATGGACTACTGTTGATGGTAATCCTACTTATTTTGGAAACTATCTTTGGGATGGAAAAATAAACCACCCAAATGAATATTTCTGTCTGGTAAACTTCCATGTCAGTTATTTTTAAAAGCAAACGATGGTCTTATATCAGTGTTTTCAAAGTGTACTCTAGGGAAACCTGGGAGTCTCTAACACCCTTTCTGAGGAAATGTGAAAGGAAAACATGTTTATAATATGCTAAGACATTATTTGCCTTTCACTCATAGTCTTTAACAAGTGTTCAGTGGAGTTTTCCAGAAGGTAAATGACATGTAATGACATAATTGCTCTGATGGCATATGTCATATGTGCTTATGTATTCTCAAGTTTTCCAATTTTTCTAGTTTATCAATACTTAAATGTTGACAGTTACAGATATCATAATCAAACATCACTTCAGAGACCAAGTGCAGTGGCTCACACCTGTAATCCTAGCACTT